TTATTCAAATCAATACATTTTTAGGAATAACATCTAATCAGGTATTTACATACATATAAACACAATGTTACTTTTTTGACGACACACCAGCAAATTGAAAAGTTTTGATTGTCATTTGAAGACACAAAAAAAAACACTAAGTATATAAATAAACAGTTAATTTAGGTATTACACAGCTATACTGTGTAGCAGATTCGCCCAAACTCTGCCAGAGCTTTTCTTCAACGTTCCTAATGCCTGGTGTTAATCCGTATCACCAACCAACCATTCGAATGCCCATTTCCTGCAACCAGTTGGTACAGGATATTATAGTTTTGTCCACCTAACGGTTGTACGTATCACCTAAACCTAATCGAGATAGATATAGGGTTATCTATATATAAATGATCAGGGTGACGAGAAAAGTTGAAAACAGGGAGAACACTTCTCTAATAATGATATGTCTGTATGTTAAAAATCTTGAATCAGATTCATACTTCACAGAGATCCCATACCTAATATAAAGATTTTCGAACTTCTAGGTAACTTTATGCTGAATATAAAAGACCAATATTGAGTTATCTGAATAAAAATTACAGAGCGTGTTTTACTTATAACAGTGTATTTTTGTGCCTAAAATAGATAAATATGGGCGAAAATTGACTTTACCCCTCATATAACTAATATCAGACTTCCCGGCTGACTTGGCTCTATGTGATTATTTTTTTAGTATGTAACATTTTAATAGTATGTGGTAGTGGGAAAAATAGATCAAATCTGGTCGGTACTACCTCAACTGCCATACTACGTATAATGGTTTTCCTTTTTCTTACAAACCTTATGTGTCTGTCAGTATAAGGGTATAAGGGTATAATGTATATAGTATATGTAAATAAAAAATTGCTAGGATTTCGATCCTCAGGTTGATGTTGTACACCATAAAGTATTTCCCTRACTTTGATTATTGTAAGTCGCAAGAGTATAAAATGTTCGGTTGCACCCGAATTTAGCCTTTATATGTTTATTTATCACTATTGTCGAAACTAAACAAAGGAAACAATAGAAACGCTTTTTAACACATAATGCCACAATCAATAATAATGGTACTGTTAATCACTTTTCACACATTTTTCACTTACACTAAATGTTAAAACATAAATTTTCAAATAACGTGGAGTCCAATCGCATTTTCTTATTGATATTACAAGCTGCACTCCCTATTATGCGACGCCTTTGTTCTTCCTTATCCATCTTTGGTATAACGCGTGGTATTTCGCCGTGAATTTAACAGTATATGTCGAATTGTTGCATGGCATTCGTAGAATCTACGATTTTTTATTAAGGCTATTAACTGCATCTTTAAGCCTTTTCTTATTGAACTAGCTGTGACTGCCTTAAATAATATATCAAATATATTAAAACTTCGGCTTCGAATTATTTAATTTTTCTTGTTCTGAAGAGAATTTTCCATTTCAAAACAATAGGTTAAATATGGATATATAGTAGTATACGAAGCGAAATTTTACAAATGTGTTTTTAGTCTCCATTAAAACTGCATAACATATCTTCTCTATTACATTGTGATGGTACGTTTTAAGGCGCTCACAGCATTAAATCGATATTTTGTCCATCAATCTGAAACTAAAACACTGTGACTGTGTGAATCGGTGCTTTATCTATCGTGCAAAGCTTCAAATAAGTTTTTAAAATGGGGAACCAGTCGTTCCCACTTAAGTTAGTTCTTCCGAAAATTATGGAAATTATAATTGTACTCGTATCCAAGGGCCCTTCCAAAATAACTTTTTTTCTTCTTCTTTTGTTTCATTTTCTTAATTGAAAACACAAAAAAAAAACTTTTAAATTTCAGTTTAAAGAGTTAGTATTCTCGGAATTTCCATCGATGCTGTATAACATAATATAAATCGTTAACTTTTAAAGTACAATATAGTTAGTAAAGTGGGTCGCAGGAGAGCGGGAACGACAGCTGATAAATGAAAAATAATTTTAAGCCTACATTCCTTCAACAACAGCTATACAGAAATTGATGAAAGAATTAAGTTAAGTCGTTTTACTATTTAAGCGTTTTAAAGCTGTGCATTGTCTCTAGAGTTGTGGAACATATTGAAAGAAAACTTGCAACAAAGCGTAGAAAAGTTTAATCTTGGGGATCAAATATACTGTCGGTCAGCAAGATAGTGATTCCGCACCTATAGCCCCACGTTCTTGCAACTCCAGCTGTGTTAAAACGTTTGTCCGTCAGTATACGTTTTCGATTAATGACGTTTTGTGGGCGCGGCAATAGTCCGATTACGCCTATCTACAATACAAAACATCTTATGGTGCCAGCGAATGGGCACGGGTGAACGGACAAACAGGCGGATTTCAACTCGTGTGTCACCCTGATCATTTGTATATAAAAACTATATTTAAATCAATTAATTTTGAAGAAAAAAAGGCAGCACTGCACTAACTTTTACACCAACGGAAAACTGCAAGATCCTGAGGACTGCTTTCAATTCCGTTTTTTCTATCTCGAAAGTGCTACAGCTATTAAATAAAAAGTTTGGAAGACTTCTAAAGGGTGGCAAGAGCTGTCCTGCGTTGGATTTCCAGGCTGACATTGTTGGTGGTGTTTATATTGGCTCCTAAATTTACGAAACTATCTACAACTTCAAAGTTATAACTGTCAACAGTGACGTCAGAACAAAGTCGCGAGTGCGACGACTCTTTCTTTGATGACAGGATATATTTTGTCTTGCCCTCGTTCACTACCAGACCCATTTGCTTTGCTTCCTTGTCCAGTCTGGAGAAAGCAGAACTAACGGCGCGGGTTTTGAGGCCAATGATATCAATATCACCGGCATACGCCAGCAGCTGTACACTCTTATAGAAGATGGTACCTTCTCTATTTAGTTCTGCAGCTCGAACTATTTTCTCCAGAAGCAGGTTGAAGAAGTCGCACRATAAGGAATCGCCTTGTCTGAAACCTCGTTTGGCATCGAACGGTTCGGAGAGGTCCGATCCCGACGGAGCTTTTGTGTTGCTCAAGGTCAGTTTACAGAGTCATATTAGTTTTGTGGGGTTACCAAATTCAGACATCCCGGCATAAAGGCAGCTCCTTTTCGAGCTGTCGAAAGCAGCTTTGAAATCGACGACGAGGTGGTGTGTGTCGATTTTCCTTTCACTGGTTTTTTCCAAAATTTGGTGCATGGTGAATATCTGGTCGGTGGTTGATTTGGCTGGTCTAAATGCACACTGATAAGGTCCAATCAGTTTGTTGACGATGGGCTTTGATATATCACACAAGAGTATTCTCGATAGAACCTTATATGCGATGTTGAGGAGGCTTATCCCATGGTAGTTGGCGCAAATTGTGAGATTTCCCATCTTGAGGATTGGGCAGAGCACACTTTAATTTCATTCGTCGGGCATGCCCTCGTCCGACCATATTCTACAAAGAAGCTGATGCATGCTCCTTATCAGTTCTTCGCCTCCTTATCAGTTCTTAGATTGGTTTCAAAATCTCCAGAAGTTATTCTTTCAGTGCCATTCAGTAGACTGCAGAAATGTTTCCCCCATAAGTATGCTCTGGGTATCAGTCACTAGATCACCTCTGGACGTTTTACAACAGTATGCTTCAGTCTTGAGACCTTCTGTTAGATGCCGCATCTTTTCGTAGAATTTTCTTGCATTACCCTATTGGCCAGCGTGTCAAGCTATTCATACTCACGCATTTCAATCTGTCTCTTCTTTTTCTGCAAATGCTTCTTGGTACCCTCTTTAGTTTTCGGTGTCTATCGCACGTGCTGTGGTCGATTGTAATATTGTGGTCGATTGTAACATTGCGAGGTAGGCAGTCTTTTTTCTCTCCGCTGCGACACGACGTTGTCCGAGTCAATGTTATTATCTCGGAGCGTACGATCGTCTAAAACACCGGAAACGTGTACTCCTTCTATCACAACATCGTCATTCTGGGTGGTGGCATTTACTTTATAGTATTTATTAAATGCCTCAGGGACCTACTCGTCTCACTCCTTGTCCCGTCTATCGAATTTTTTGGACGGTGGTGATGCCAATCGTTCTTTTACGATTACATCAACCATTTGGGCAGCGGCACCTTCTCAACTAAGGGAGCGAACATTCGAGGTGCATGTCCTAAAATCATAATCCTTAAGCGTTTGTCGTCATAATCTCTGGGCAGCGACGTTACGCCTTCAAACGGATGTGTCTTTGGCTACCCAGAGGATATTTGGTCTAAGACAGGAAGTCGTGAGCTGCTTGAACCATACATAAATGATTCATTTCTGGCCAGTCCCAAGTGAATGGCGCTCTGAGAACTTTGCTTTCTTATGTGAACTTCTACGCATGGCTCCAATGCCAAACAGTACTGAACAAAAATAATATGACGGCTTGACACGACTCACGCCTGACCTGTAAAAAGAAGGCTATAGAAAACGATACTTGGATCACCCGTTATAAAAACTCCTCGTCTAAAAAAAAAAAAGATAAATGTCACAATGGTGTTATGGTTTGGAGAGTAGTGCCGTGTTCTGACGCATTCGAATTTCAAGGAGACTTAAAAATGGATGTAGACAAATAAATAGAATAACCTTTGACTGAGATATAAGGTAAGTTTGGTTTTGGTATTTTTTAATTGCATCGCGAGAATGTATTTCTTGCATAATTTAGTTGGGGCTGGTGACACATTTTGGAAGTTGACGCTACGTACCTTTTTTTCAAAACCCACCGCTAAAGGTAAAGGGAGAGAATTAGAATCCTACTGGAAGAGTCAAGAATGATAGAGATATACATAGCTGTATACCTTTGAGCATACCCTAAATACCACTATTCTAATACAATCATTCATCTACTCAGCTAGTTCGTGATCCATCATTTATCCAATGTACTCACGTTTATCAACTCAAATTTTAAAAGATAGATTCGTTGATGTATTAAATATCTATACTTTTCGATATTTTGGCTTTGCATGTACTTATATAAATTTGAACTCTACTTTTCAGCTGCTTTACTTGTGCGCTAAATGTTTTAATTTCAATCATAAGCGCATTTTTTGTGGTCTTTCTAATCGTTGGCATATTGGTCTACTTTATTTATTACCATGAGAATGAAGATGAGACAGCTAACAAAATAAAAGATGAGATAAGGGACGGTTTGGAAAGTGGATTGGACAAAATTAAAGGCACATTTTCAAACTAACAGGTAAGTGCTGTAATTACATACATGCCTAATTATAAAGTACGGTATTAAATCAACATTAAATCAGAGGTAAACATGAAATTTTGATTTTGTAATAAACATAACTGTTGCCTATTATATAATACTTGTATATCCTGATTAGGGTCGCTTTCTAAACCACATAACAAGAATTTAAACCATTGGAATAATTTGGGATAGTTATCAATAAGAACAGAAATTATCAGCAACATTCGCTCTCAGTAAACATAACATGATTTCTAAGAGTTTTGTTAACCTAACGGTTGTATGTATCACCTAAAACTAATCGACACAGATTAGTAAGTTATATCTCTATATATAAAAGAATGTCGTGTTAGTTCCACTATATATAACTCAAAATAGCTAACCTGATTTGGCTGTAATTTATGGGTAGATGGATTATAATCAGGGGACGGACATAGGATACTTTTTATCTCTTTTTTTTTTAATAGTCAATACAATTCATAAATACGAAAACTATATCTTAAATCATGAGTATGTGTTTGAAATTCATGTAAAAACTATTTTTAGATATTTTTTTACTTATTTAAATTAAATAAATAACAACACATAGCGGCTTCAAAAGTATAGTAATTATCCTATACATATATGGATTATACTGATAGTTACTACTAAATAAGACGAATTTTTCGCGCTATAGTATATCCGGTAAGACATTTCTAATATTACAACAGAAAAACGTTTTGACAGTTGCAACGCCTGGCATTACGGTTACTTTGCTGGATTATGGGTGAACGACGCAAGAGCATTTATAACAAACTTAACACATACACTTAACATTACAAAATAACAGAATTTTTGCAGTGTTGAGAAAAAGTTCAATCATAATTTWAGATCAAAACTGTGTGCTGAGTGCGAGCAGTACACTCATTCTTCGCTTTTCTTAAGTCAATGATGAAATGTTGAAACACTCTAATTGACCATTAATATGCGCGAACAATGGCAAGCTGATCCACTCGCAGAAATGATGCAATTGCTAGATATTCGAAATATTTTTTTGATGAAAATGAAAACGTTAATTATCTAGATATACCGAAATCACCTCAATTTATAATTACTTAGAAGCCTTATTTACCTAGGCTGTAGTCGTTGAAAGTTGCAAAAGTATGATATATACGGTTATTTCCGAACTTAGCCTTCTTTAGTTGTTAAATATAAAGTTCCACCAGCACCTAAAAGAATTTCACGGTTATATCCGAACTTAGGCATTCCTTATTGTTTTATATTGATTTTAATTACGAATAAACCAACATACGATATGACAATATCGTTAGCTATGATAATATAGCGCACACTCGAAAACATGAACTAATTGCGAAATGTTCACGTTTCCGAATACCCAAAAATAATTCGTTTATATATGTTTGGTTACACCTTTAAATTTACATTTTATTATAGTTTCGTATACATATAAATTTGTACTTTCCGGATATGATAGGTAAGTTTGAGAAAATTTTTATTTAAAAAAATCCGTAATATTTTTGTATTTTCTTGTTTTCTAATAAATGAAAACAGCTTTCTCCAAAAAAAAATGTTTGACAAAATTTAAAAGAAACTTGTACCTGCGGAACGAATGTTTCATGAAACCAAGAAAATAGACGACGTCATCCAAGCGGATTTTAAGTTGTTTTGCTTAATAAGACACTAACAATTTTAAAACAGAATGAATTATTTGCCTTTCAAATTCCCAAGATTTTGAGCTTTTATTTTAGCTCTAACTTTTTCTATAAGAGGGTTGATTAGCTGAGGCTATGAAGACAACTTTTCGACCGATATTTGAAGAAGTCGAATGCGGTATCTTGGCTTGAAATTTTAAAACCATAACCTGCCGTGATGATTTAAATTGATAATTTTGGGCGATACTAGCAGCGCATCCGTTATACATGGTATTGGCTTCCGAATCCTGACCAATACTTGGGAATTATTCCTTACATGATTTGATTGCATTGTATATTTTTTATGATAAATTTCCATTAGTTTAGCAATTTCGGCCTCTTTTTACCCTTTTTATACATGTTCCAAATTATTCCTCTTTCCTCAATTGTAGAATGCTTTCCGGATCCCTTGTAATATTATTTCTTTCAATGAAATACTTTTCATTATTTATTTATAAATTTCCATTAGTTTAGCAATTTCTGCCTCTCTTTGCCCTTTTTATATCCCTTGTTATATTATTTATTTCGCTGAAATACTTTTAATTATTTATTTTTTAACAACATAAAAAATTATGTTCTTAAATTAACCCTAGAATGGTAAACACCGCCTGTGAGGCGAAGAATTTTTTTTTATTAAGGCGTGCGCTCGTGCCACCTCAGCTGAGTGTTGTACGAGCTGGGCCCCAGACGTATTTTGTTTTGCTGCGTTGCGTTGGATACGTGTGTCGCCTCTGAGGCAAAGTTTACCAATAAAGGAACTTTTTTTGTACATATTCGTTTACGCRTTTGTTTTTTTTTTTGCTAAAATTTTGAGTTTTTGTAAAACTTTTATAGTTTTTAGAGATGGCTCCTCCTGATGTGCAGTTACTCAAATGGCTGGAGGAAGTATCGCTTGATGGAAGTGAACTTGATGACGATTTGGGTGTAGATATCGATTCAGATGATAGTGTGGCTGATCCCACTTACGTCGATGATTTCGCCTATGACATGCAGTATATTGATGTATCTAATGAAAATGATGTCAATCAATCCACACCGACTGATGTTCATGAAGCTGTAGACACGTCGCAAAATGACGATCAATTGGCTTGTGAGAACTGGATAATTACGCCATCGGCATCGGTTATAAGGGGTAAGAACAAATATATATGGTCTTCCGAACCGTCTTCGATAACAAAAGTATCGAACAGAACTCTTTCGAGATTATGCCAGGGCCAAAAGAAGGAGCCAAGGGTATAGTAGATCCTGTTTGTTTCACCTAGTTCCACTGGGTATGTGGGGGGTATACTTACTTACTTTACTTATGTATCCCTTTTTCTTTTGAATTAAATGAAAGTTTATATTTTTTTTTTTTTTGTGAAAAATAAAAATTCCAAATAAACGATTTATTGTATTTCCCTTTGAGGGCAAAACTTCGATATTTAAATACACTTGTATATTGTTATTGAACTGTGCACTGCTGCTGCTACTGCACAACCACACGCGAGATAGGACGGAGATTCCAAATTTGGACCACGAATTTAAACTAAACTGGAACGTGCGGATGTAATAGCTGGCGAAACTTCGTGTACGGGCGTAAAAAAGCGAATAATAACCATCCCGATCTAACCAACCCTTTTTGATTGATTAGGTGGTGAAAACGATAACGTATGGTGTGTGTGTAGTGTGGTTGGTTTGTTGCGTGTTTGAAAAGGTAGGTTGTGTGCTGACTGTTGTGTTGTGTGATGAGTATGAGTTGTATGATGAATGTTGAGTTGTGTGCCGAATGTGTTGTATCGTGATGAGGTTTGTGTTCAGGGGCGGGATGCCATGAAGTCGCATAAACATCCCGGCCCCCCTAGGCGAATTAATTGCCTAGAAGCCGCTGCAGTTTCTGTAAGGTGCTCACTACAGCGCTGAAACCCGTCGCCTTTTGTGGTTGCGATGGTTACGATGTGGTGGTGTCTGCGAACGTGCACCTCGAGACGGTTTAGAGCGATGGGCTCTTCGGCGTTGAACTTGATCTCTATGCCGCTGTTGACCATGCCGGTGACTGGCGTGCGTTGACGGATCAGCGCGTCGAGGAAAACGGTGAAATAATGTATGATGCGGTCGATGGCAGTACTGACACGACCCGTCTGACATGCACTCCAACGTAGCGTGCGTGTCTGCCAAGCATGTCATGCAGTGGCCGTGGGCTCTAGCGATCTGTTGGCGCTGAGCGGGCTTCATCGTCTTGAAAATCGAACACTTCTTCAGGAAGTGGGGTCGATGGCATAGGCTGCATCGTGGCGGTACATACTCCTCGAACTGCTCCTCGCCCGCTTCCCTGACTGTTTGACCGGATGATTGGCTGGGTGGGCTTGTGCCTTSTTGYCTCCTTGGTGCGGCAATGGGTGCAGCGGATGCTGCAWTTGCAGTAATTGCGGACCTCACCGATTGSGGGTTACRGTGGATTTCTTCTACGTCCATTTCTAGTGGAATAGGAATATGTATGTTAAACAGTTTTGCTAGTAGTATGAAGTATGCTACATTATATATATGTGTATATATATATAGATATATGTATTATATCTTTATTTGATACTTTTATTTATATGTATTATATATTATTTATATATACGGATTTTGTTGTTTATTATTAATCGCGTTCATTAGGTTTTGGTTTGTA